CAGTCACTTCTCGTAAGTCGGGGCTGGGGAGCGCGGCTGGGGCCACCAGCATTGCGCCCGCGCCCAGCCCAGCTAGCTGGGGGAGGGGGGTTTGCCCAGGCACAGCTCTGTGCCGAATTTACCGGAAACATGTCATTCTGGAAATTCTGCGGGGCAGAGAGGTGCGGGACTGCGACCCCCGTATCCCCAGCTCATCCCTGTGGCTCCCGCGCTGAGGAAGCCCCTGTTGTTTTGTCTCCTCAGGAGAGCGAAGACCTGGAGAGGCAGAACGCTGCCCTGCGCCGGGAGATCAAGCAGCTGACAGAGGAGATGAAGCACTTTGCCTCGATGCTGAGCTCCCACGAACCGATCTGCTCCATCCTGACCTCGCCGCCGCCAGACGTGCTTTATGGCACACACTCCTTCCACCAGCCCCACATCAGCTCCCCACGCTTCCAGCACTGAGCCAGCCAGCGGGACTGCAGCCTGCCGGCTCCACCAATGGCAAGAAGCAACTTTGTGGGGCTCGCTTTTTCATCCAAGGCAGAGGGACGGGCAGACGGACATCCCTTCTCAAAGTGTGTACTCTGAGTGACTTGCCTAACACTTGCTCCCTGTGCAGAAAAGGCAGAGCCACCAGGAGGCATCTTCAGGTAGTTTCCATCTTGGATCCTGGGAAGAGGAGGCATTCGCAAAAGGGCACCAACCCCCTGCCCCAGTGCTTGCTTGGGGACGCTCACAGGAGAGTGCGGCACCGGCAGCCTCCATGGGCAGCTGGCTGCGGCACGCGACAGCCAGAGCTCCAGGGAGAGGAAGAGGAGCAGGGGCAGAGGGGAAGGTTGGGGGCCACAGAGTACCAGGGCAAAATTGGTTTATTTTTGTAAAATAAAGATTGAAAATGCTTAACTCTTTGTTTCCAAAATAGGTCCTGAGCCACTCCTAAGGCCTGGCATGACACAGTGAGGGCACAGGCATCAGGAGGGGAGAGCTTGGAGTCTAGGGAACAGCTCTGTGGGTGCCGGTGTCTAATCCAGGGCCAGCGGCTGGAGCCCCACATTAACCCATGTGCATTGGTTAGGCAGGCTGAGTAGCAGTAGTTTGCGGGGTGATGGGGTCCCTGTGGGAGATGGGTCCCTCCTTGCTGCAGGGCTGAGCCTGGCTAGTGAGTCTGACAGCTAGTCTCTTCCCGGCTGACCCCCTCTGCTCCCTACTGCCAATGGCTAGACCTCCACGTGCTCCTTTTGCATGTGTGGAGCTGCGCTGCCATACTGTGTCACCTCACATGTGGGTCTTGGTGGGCCAGTGAAGCCTTCAGCTTGACCAGCAGTGCAGCTGGGAAGGAGTGTTGCGGTGTGGAGCGGGGTGGTGAAGCTGTGCTGGAGCACACAGGGGAAGCAGGACCCCTAGCACGACCCTTGCTCCAAAGCACCCTGCTATAAGGCACGTAGCTACAGCCTACGCTGTTTCCCCTTCCCCACCAGTCAGCTCCACAAAAGGCTGCTGCACTACCTCGTGCATTGAAGCAAACGAAGCCTGAAAGGTCAGTGAAGAGCAGATTAGTTCTGCTGGGTCTGATCTGGTGAAAACACAGGCCCATCCATACAGGAAGTCTCTGCATTTAACACCCCACCAGCCAGCAGTCTGCCTGTCAGCCCTACTCTGTGCACAAGGCTGCAGCCCACCTGCCCCTGCAGGTCCTGTTCCTAATGCTCTCTCAGGACTGCTGCCATCTCCAAGGAGCATCAGCTGATATTTTTTCAGCCTAGGGTACCACAGGCAGTGCTGGTGACCATAGGCTTTTAACTGAGCTTAATGGACCCAATGCGTACATACCCTTCTTTCAGGCACAAAGAAGCAGCGCATTTCCAGATAGGTTTTGGCCCATCATCATAGCCCTCAAGAGCAGTTAGGAAAAGTCTGTAATGTTGCGCTGTACCCATTTTCTTTCTCTGGTTCACACTAGCAGGATGATAACCATACACTGCCATGCCTCAGCAAGCTGTCCTCAGGAAATCCACAGGTAGCACCATGATTTCTCCTGGCATGGCCTGTTAAGAGGCTTGTGAACCTCCTGCCTCCAGCTTCTGTGCCAGCATGGGAAACACCATGGCCAGGGATGTCTGGTGTCAGGATGTTGGCCTGGGTGTCACCATCCTACAAAAGCAGTGCTGAGGCAATGGGCAATTGTACTGACCCTCGCTGTGCAGCTCTGCCCCCCGCCCCAAGGGGGATGCTCGCACATTGGATGGTGGTTGTTCCAGCCAGGCTCCTGGGTTTCTGCATACAGGACATACAGAATACATCTATGGGCAGCAAAAAGATTCCAACCATATTCACAAAAAAATGCAGCAGGAGCAATTTCACTATGTCTTACACTACCCTCTCTGTCAGACCTCACACCAGTAGGCTTCACTCCATCCATTGGTACAACAACCAGAGCCGCCGATTCCCCACATAGGCCATGCTTTGAGACACCCAGGCTACAAAGGCAGTTCCCACACTGCTTTTCTCTGGGATTTGGCCCTTTAAGCCTGGAAGAGACAACTGGCTGCAGCTCTAGAGAAGCTTAATTTAACAGGCTCCGCTTCTGCTCCTTCAGCTTCTGGTGGGTTTGCTCCTGGATTTCTCCCTTGCTGTTCCTTAGGGCTCTGATGCTCCCTTGGTCCCTGGGTTACAGAGAATCAGAGAAAAAAGCTACTCTTGCCTTGCTTGGGGTTTCCTGTGTAGGGGACCACAGGCTCGTGCTCCTCACTGGAGGATGCAACAGAGCCCCGGCAAAGCTTGCACTGACTTAAAACACAGCATTGCCTACGATAATGGGAAACCTCCATCCCTGCTGTGACCTTTGTGTTTTCTCATGGCTGTAAAATGCTAAGCTTGGTTTTAGCTGTAGACGAAGAAGGTCCTGCCCTGATGTATATGTATCACCTATGCCCACACAGACATGAAGATAATATTTTTGTTGCAGAGCTGTCGAAGTCTAAGATCCTGCAGGTTGGGTGGGGTTCTGCGTAATGCCCGCAGAATTACTAGACTACTCACTGGTAACGTCTCAGACTTATTACTGCGACTCAGAACGAAAACAAGTGGTGAGTGGTGAGACTGGGAGATGGGTTTGCAACAACATCCTCTCCAGAACCTAAACAATAGTCTTGGCATCATCAGTTAAGTTGCCCTTCCACTGCATGGATGGCTGTGAGCTGGAAGGCCTCCAAGCAGCGTTGTGCTCAGCCGTTCTGGCCAAACACTGGGTGTATGTTGGTGCTAAGGGACGCATCTTCCAATCTGACTTGTCTTTGCCCCAGTCTTGCCCTCAAAAACCTGATCACAGAAGATGGCCTGCATGGTTCAAGTGGTTTTGACCTCTTGGTTTCTTATGGTGGTTGTCAGATGTCTCAGAGGCAGTGTCTCTTTGTTATGAAAAATGGTTTCCCTGGGAGACTGTCCTTAGAACCCAAGCAACAGGGGACAACATATCTTTTCAGGGCCACCAGTCTTTCAACCAGCCACTGAGAAAAAGGTCTTTTCCTGAGGCTATTTGCAGAGCTGCAAAGCTGCTTGTTCAGGCTACATGAGGAGATTTCTTCACTTCTGTACCGGTGCTGTCTCTTACTTCTCTTTCCCAGGCTCCTGGCCTCCACTTGAGGCTTCTCACACAACTAGTTTTGATTTCTAAGTAGCCAAGTGCCTGTCCCTTGGTGTGGCCCTCACTGTTGTCAGCAAATGAACCGCTGATGAGCTCAAATAAGGAGCAAAGGACAGGGTGATGGCCAGAGCAACCATCCTTGCTTGCTTTCGATTGTCTGCTCCTACCTGCAATGAAATCCTTTTGAACTTCATTTCCAGGGCATGTGGCACTTCTAAAGTGATGTGTGAGTATTACCTGGCCATGCCCAGCCTCCAGGAGCACCGTGCAGCTTGCTGCTCCAAGGGAAGGGGATGCTTCTGGGCACACAAGTGGAGAAATCTGGTGATGGCTGGGGTGTGGCACCTTGTCCCTACCCAGGTAGGATGTCAGAGCCTTTCTGTTGCACTTCATAGTCCCTCACTGTAAGGGTGTCTCAAAGCAGTAAAGAGACGAGGGCGTACAGGAAGCTGAGAGACTCTTCTTGAAGCCGGGGAAGGACAGCTAGAGAGAGAAGTCTTCCCTGCGAGCACAGCCTGCCGAAACACTGCGTCTGTGCTGGCCTCTGCTGGGCAAAGGCTGAGCTCTCCCAGCCTACGACCACACTTCTCAGCAACCTCCTCTCTGCGCTCCCCGATGACAGAGCTGGCTTGAAGGTTAGCCTGGCTAATGCCAGAGGCTAAGGAAAGAGCTGGGAGGCTCAAGGTTAACGTGTGTGAAGGCAAGGGTTGGGCAAGGTTGCCTGAAGGGGGATGTCCAGGTCCAAGTGGGAACACGGGGCTGTGGTCTCCCTTGGGCAAGGGTCTTGTAGCTTGGGACAGGGGCCAGTTCTGCTTTGTGGTCCCAGCACAGTTCCATTGCTGTGAGAGGGTGTGGGGAGCTTGGCTTGGTGTCCCCCACCCTCCCCAGCTCCCCTGGGGCTTGCAGAGCTGCGTCGAGGCAGCACTGGGCTGGATGTGGGGACTGAGCACTGGGAAGCATCACAGGTGGGGGGTAACAGCTACTTGCTTAAATAAACATAGACCTGGCTGCAGCCCTGATTAACTGTAATCACCTTCACCAAGACCCGAGATGAGAACAGAGGATTTCAGTGTTTTGATACCCAGCAAAGCTTTTATAGAAGCACTTGGGCTGGGTTTCTGCCCAGCAGCCCGGGAGAGGAGCAAGGCCAGGTGGAAGGTGGCACTGGGGGGAAGCTGCTGTGGGTGCTTTTCAAGACTTAGTGACTTGCCTCCACATTTACTTGCTGGCTGGAATCTTCTCTGCAGACAAAACAGAGGTGTGTGGCAAACATCTGCTGATACAATCAGAGGGTGGAGATGGGAACCGGGGGACATAAGAGTTACATTTTCCTTTATGGCCTTTACTGAATCTCAGTATGTCCCATGGATCAAGGCATCCTGGAAACACTGTGCAGAAGGACAGCAAGTCACAAAACATGGAGGGTGCAGTAATTTTCTCCCTTTCCATCCCCCTACAAGCACAGGCTCAGCACTTTACAAGTGCTCAGTATCAGCATTTCATGGCTGCTTCTATGGTGAGATAAAGATATGACATTCAGTGCTGACATAAGCTTAACATATCTCCCCAGACTGGAAGCCCAGGGCAATCTTTTTTGCTTGGTATTCCCTTCCTGCTTCACCCTTCTCAGCTCAGCTGCAGGTTCCCAACGTGCCAGGTGCCAAGGTAGGGAGACACAGGACCAGCCAGTCCAGGGGAAGGTGCATTTATCCAACTGTATGGGGCTGTTATGGTCCCAGCTGTCATCACAATGATACCCTCCCTCTAAACTGATTCACCTGTGAATTTTCTCTCTTGAGGGACAGAAGAAGGGGTAATACCCAAGCACAGTATGCATGGAGTCAGAAGAGGAGGCACGTCTTCAGTTTGGCAAAGGACAGACCAAGTAGCCCTGTTG